TGGAGACTTGGTTCTGTGCACCCCATTCCAGCCTTGGGCTCCCCTTCCCTCTCCATAGAAATGTCTGCAGAGCGGTGCTTACACGACTGCTGGCAGGTAGCAGTCGAGGGCCTTTCCGTATCTCACCACCACTTTTCTTGGCGATACTTTCTCATGATACTTCAGGCAGCAGGTGGGTGGAGGGTTCACCGACTCAGGAATTTCTGAGGGAATGACGTTGAATGCTGAGCCAAGGAGGTAGAGAGGGAGCCCATGGCTGCCCACTTCCATGTCCCATCTCTTGCATTCCGTTTTTCTGATGGCAAAGCCATTTATCAGCAGGGACTGATGGTAGCTTGATGGATAATGGAGAAAGTGAAAAAGCTGAAACTTCTGTAGAACCTTCAGCCTCTGGACTGAGGGTCACCAAGTACAGAGGACTGGGGTAATCACATTTGCTGATGAACTTGACTTGGCAAACACATATTGAGCTCCTATTACATGCCAGGCTCTATGGGGTTCAGAACATGAGGAAGACACAGTCACTACTCTTGTGTACCTTACAGACCAGTCTGGGTAAAAAGGGAAAGTGAAAAGATAAACGCTACAATAGAACGTGGTCTGGGAGAGAGTAGAATTTGACACAAGATGCTATGGGAACAGAATGAGGGGTACCTAACCCAGCCTGGGTGGTTGAGGAAGAAATCCCACAGCAGGTGGTGCCTGAGTTGATTCCTGAAGGATGAGTAGGATTTAGGCAGACAGAGGGGTTGTGGGATCTGGAAAAAAGAAATGTATGGAGGCCTGAGGTGGGGGATGCCCAGTGTGTCTGGGGGGACAGAACAGTTCCAGGAGGCTGCAATGCAAGGTGGGAAGGAAGATGTAGGAAGAGAGGATATTGACGAGGGAGGGGAGGGCCACACCTCTTCTGAGCTGTGATAGGGAGCCTGGATTCTGTGCTAGAGGCACCAGAGAGGCTGAGGTCAGGGAGAAGGCTGAGATGGGGAGGTGAGCAGAAGCCAGGGCAGGAGGAAAAGGCTTATATTTAGGCTTCAGAGTCAGACAGCTTGGGTTGGAGTCTCGACTAAGTGACTTGAATCATGGGCAGATTTCTTAATCTCTCTTGGTGTCTTTACCCGTTAAACGAGGGTAAAAAATTACGTCCTAGGATCGTGGTGAGGGTTAGTCGAGAGAATGCTTGTAAAGCCCTTAACTCAGAGTCTGGCACAGAAAGACTCAGCGCTTGCTGTAATTAAGGAGCTAATGGTTGTAATGGCCACTCTTCTGGGCTGGAAATGGCTCTTTCCCCCTCTCTCTGACGCTCGCAGGATACGTGACTCGGCTGGGTTATCACTGTGTCTCCCTTGGGCTCCCCTGACTGCTCATCAGTTGGGGATATCACCTCATCCGGCCCCCAGACCTGCAGAGTGCAAATCCCTGACCCTTGTTTCCAGCTGGTGGCAAAGCCTGAGACTTCTCGAGAGAAACATTTGGCTGACCCGTGCTTTGGGTGGGCCATTTTCTCTTCCTGCTTGACCTTCCCGAAGAGCACTGTTGCCCCGTCCCACCCACCAGAGGCACCTCTACCCACAGTGACCCTGATTCTCAAGGCAACGTTTACAAAGACCAGGGGCACTCTGAGAGTGTGTGGGCAGATTACATGGTGTGTGTGACCCTCGCTCCCCTGAGTGTTTACACAGGCAGAATCCGGCCAGACTATATGCCAAGGGCAGCCTTAGGGACAAAGGAAGGGCTGGGGCAGTTGGAGGCGGATATGTAGAAGGCCTGAGTGCCTTGGTCCCTTCCCTGTCACCAGCCCTCATAAATGATGGTAGAGGCAGGGTTAGGGAGTGGGCAAAACAAGCCCCATTCTCCATAGGTCCCAAGCATCCCATAGTTCCAAAACCTCTCAACTTCCTTCAACCCCTTTTCTCTTTTCTACAGACTTTATTTAGTCCTAGGCTGGGGGATGGAGATCCGCAAATCCGCAATGGTACACGTGGGCGTCCCACCAGGACTTCTTTTGGCTGCCGTGGTAGTCCCAGGAAACTACAACAGACACTGTGAGCAAGGGGTGTCTAGGTTCAGACTCCCCGTTCCTGGGCTTAGCCCCAAACATCACTCATCCCTGACTCCCTTCATCCTGCCCTCCCAGAGGATCTATGGCTTTTTTCATCTGCTTGCCTTGCCTCCCTCCTCATTGCGTACATTTATTATTATCTCTTCTGCTTCTTCCTTGGCTCTTCCTCCTAAATGATCATCCCTGCTGTCTGTCTTTGGGATTCCTGATGTAACCTTGTCCCAGCTTCATGAAACTGCCCAACCCCAGAAGGATCTGGACCACAGCTCAGCTCTACTTACAAAGGGAAGAGTTTGAAGACAGCAGCTCTGTGTGCAGAAGGGGAGAGGCCCCAGGGCTGGTGACAGAGACCTGACAGCACTCTTAGCATCACCTCGCTGTCCCGTTCCCTTTTCTCACTGCCGCCCTGCAGGGACAGGTGGACTCACTTGGCTGGCTGTGAACAGCAGAAGTAATGGTGAGCTGAGGAGAGAGAGGGCAGCCGCGGAGACCTTCATCCTCTCATTGGGGCAGTTGGGCTTCGGAGGCTGAACGGAGACAGTCTCCTTCCTGGTCATCCACGCTGGGCCCTCAGCTCTCTGGACTCTGACCACTTCAGCGGGCGGGCGGCGGAGGAGGAGGAGAGACAACGGCCGCTCCCTCGGTGTTTGCTGAAGGGGAGGGCGGTGGAGGGCGGGGTCTGGAGCAGAGTTGAATTCGGTAAGGTTTGAATCCGTGTGAAAGAAAAAAGAGAGAAAAGGGAAGTGTGGAGAACGTGCCGTGTGTCAGCACTTCGCGTGCCCCACTTCACTTAATCCTCCCAGCAGGGAGTAGAGATTTTCACTCCCATTTTGCACATGAGGCCACTGAGGCTTAGAGAGGTTAAATAAATTGTCCAAGGTCACATGGGTAGGAGGCAGATAGGCAGTCCTGAAAACCAGATCCGTGCGGTTTCACCGTGTTCCCTGCCCCCATCTCTATGTTGGGGAAAGAGGAGGGAGGAGGGTTGAACTGACTATTTCCCCAGGTGATCAGTCTTTGGGAGGGCAAACAGAAAGCAGGATTAGAGAGAACGCAGACCGACCGAGGCAAGGGTAGGGTTAGTGCCCTCGGAAAAGGATGTGTGTCCACCCCTGCCAAGGACACATGATTGAGCTCACACTCTTTCTTGTCACAGATGATGCTACAAATACCCCCCACCCCCCGCAGCCCCCAAAGTGCCTGATCCTTGGGTCCCTGTTTGTTGCTGAAATGTTTGGCTTATTTGTCAGTGTTCTCATTTATCTCTTTGGACCTTGGACTCGGAACCAGTTTTACGTCTAATTGGCTGATCCCTTCTGGGTTCCAGTGTGGGTTACCCAGTGTGGGTTAATCCAGTCTGCCACCATGGCCAATCATGGCCAGCAGAGGGCACCGCAACATCATGAACCTGACAACCTGCTTCTGGGTCCGGAGTTCCAGCTGCGGCCCACCCCCACCTCTGGCTAAGCCTGGACCTGCCCCTCAGCATCTTAGCTCTTCAGACTGCCTCAGAGCCCTGTTCCAGGCTGAAGGCAGCGTGTAGAGAAGAAATGAAAGATACAGGGGATTTTGCCTTTGATGCGCTGTGAGTTTTAGAGACGTGAGGGAGTGTTTCAGGAGATGGGAGTAGAGGGAGGCAGGGGAAAAACAAGGACTATGAAGATACCTGTGGGGCTTGCTGTTTGGCATGACTGCTTATAAACAGGAAAAAAACATACAATGCAATTAGTCCTGGTGTGTTCAAGGCAGTCAGTGGTGGTGAAGCTGTGGCTTTTTATGAAGCTAGGGAGGGTACGTATGTGAGATACCCCATTGACCTCTGTTTATGGAGGAGAGAAGGTCTGGGGAAGTCTGCTATACCTTCAGTGTGCAGGCACCCTCTTGGCCCTTGTCTGTGGAGGGCTGGAGGCCAGGAAGGGTGGTCATCGTGCCTACACTGGATGTGCTCTTCCTCTTTGTATGCAGAGCTCCTTCTTGAACCTGGAAGATGGGGGCACCCCCCCCCCTTTGGGGGCAGCTGAGTGTTATTCCTGGAGCATAAGATTCCTCTTGACTCCTGAATCATGCCGTCTATCCACGCGTCCATCCATCTACCCATCCATCCACCCATCCATCCACCATCCATTCATCCATCCATTCATCCATCCATCTACCCATCTATCCACCCATCCATCCATCGATCCATCTATCCACCCACCCATCCATCCATCTACCCATCTGTCTATCCATCCACCATCCATCCATCTATCCATTTCCTGAGCATCTGGTGTGGGTCAGGCTTTTTGCTATGCCTTGTGCAGGACACAAAACTGAGTAAAACAATAGAGTGCAACCTGATGTATGTAAGTGGATGGGGAAGAATTGGATAAAATATGTCCATGAGTCATTCCTATCCCAGTCAGCAGGGAACAGAGGCCTTGAGACCAGCCCAGAAAAAGACTATGGAGTTTGCTATAGAGAGGGCTTTATGAAGATATACCTGCAAAATCAGGTGATAATTCTTAGCTTTACACTTGTGAAGCTTAAATAAGATAATGCACACAAACTGCTTAGCAGAGTGCTTAGAATATAGAAGGCGCTACAAAAAAGGTATCTGTTATGATTGTGGTTATTATTGTGTAAAGGTAGCTTTTACACTGTCTTCCTCATTTTCTGCTCAGTTTTCCTCTACCTCCATCGCAGGCCTGACCCATGTTTTGGCACCAGGCTCTGGCCAAACTTTTTCAGAGTGATGCTTGAGGCTGAGAGTGCCACCCTGAGCTGGGCTCACCAGTGTCCTCAAGTCTACTGCCAATGGGCAATTTAGTAGAAATGAACGAGGGCAGGGAAGGGCATGATGGTCTTTAATTCAAGGCAGGGTAGCTCCCAGGAGGTGTCTGGGGCTAAGTTGGGAGTGGAGTTCAGCCCTGTCTCTTTAAATTCTGAGCTGTGTCCTTCTCTGCTACTTCTGGGTCACTCAGATCTGCTCCAGCTCCTTGATATAGTCCTGGACCCAGTCATCGCTGGCGTTGGCACAGAACTGATGGCCCTTTTTGGTGATGAAGCTGTGGAACAAGAGGGGAGAAGGATGACAAACCAGGGGTCCGGCAGCCAGGAAGCAAGAGCCCATCCTTCCTTCCTCACAGATTCCTCATCCAGCCCAGACTGGTTCTCCTTCCTCAGTGGGAGGTAGCCCAGGGCCAGCGTCCTTTCTGAGGCACGCCCTTCAGCCCCCCAGGGCCCCTGGACCCATCTAGTCTCGGTGTCCCCACCCAGGAAGTGCCACTTGCCTCCCCTCCCCCTCCCCCACGCCTCCCCATCCATGGCACCAGCTTCCTCCTGGCCCCAGCGGGCCCCAGACAGCCCAGAAGCCCCCAGGTTGCCTCCCAGCTGCCTCTCCCTGCGTGGACATTCCTGAGAAGCACCCTGGGGAGCCCCCATTCTGTGTTCTCCCTGCCCCCCTCTCCCCTATCTGGGCCCTGCTGGCTCCCCCTCCCCCAGTGTGGTGTATGGGTGCCACCTACACAATTCCAGGCTTGGAGCACTGGCTGCTGGTCTCATAATAGCCTGAAATCCGCTGCCGCCTGACTTTCCAGGTCACGTAGCTGTAGCAGCACTCGGTGGGGTGGTAAGGTCCTCCTGAGGAGAAAGCATGGAGGGAAGCTGAGATCAGGTCACCTGTTTGTTTTTTTTTAATAAACTTATTTATTTTATTTGTTTATTTTTTTGCTGCATTGGGTCTTCGCAACGCAAAGAAAGAGAGACTAGAGAAAGCTGCACGCGGGTTTTCTCTAGTTGCGGCGAGCGGGGGCTACTCTTGGTTGCAGTACGTGGGCTTCTCATTGCGGTGGCTTCTCTTGTTGCGGAGCACGGGCTCTAGGCGCGCGGGCTTCAGCAGTTGTGGCTCACGGGCTCTAGAGCACAGGCTCAGTAGTTGCGGCGCACGGGCTTAGTTTCTCCACGTCATGTGGGATCCTCCCGGGCCACGGCTCCAACCTGTGTCCCCTGCATTGGCAGACGGATTCTTAACCACCTCGCCACCAGGGAAGCCCCAGATCAGGACACTTGTTAAAGGTGACAGCTGCTGGCTGCCTCTGCCCCCGAGCCGGTGGAAGAGGGAAGGAAGGAAGGGACAGCCCCCAGAATTCCAAGAGAGGGCTGTAGAAAAAACTCAGTCCTCTGGTCTCCCTTTCAGACTCTTCCCGGGGCTCCCCTTTCCCTCTTCCTTCATTAGTGATCACTCTGCTTTCCATTCTCCACACCAACATCCCCACCCCAGAAGGACTGGCTGATGACTTTGAACTCCAGATGGAAGAGCAGCAAAGCCCAGACCTCAGTGAGCGCACGCCATCCCTGGGGGCAGCTGGCAGAGGTGCTCCAGAAAGGAGGGATATGGGAAGAAATCCCAATAGGGATTGGGATGCATACCATTTGGGAATGCAGACCCTGCCCCTCCCAGTGTCCCCATCCTGCCCGTGCACTGCAGCTAGGGCAGGATGCCCATACGCAGCCCCGAGGACAATGGCCCGGAAGCCAGGACACCCAGATCTGCAGGACACCCCACCTCGCCTCTGCTGGCTTTGCACCCATCACCCCTCATTCCCTCCTCAGTCTCCCCATCTGTGAAGAGGCGGTTAACTGGATTGGTGGTCTTTACATGAAGTTTCCTGGAGGCACTGATGCACTTGGGAGTTCAGTCTTGGGTATAAGACCCCATCAGCCTTTTTGTCTGTTTTACATTTTGGGCCTCCTGTGTAAGATTTTGCTTGAAGAGAAGGTTTCCTGATCTAAAACACTTTCTAAAAGATCACTATTTTTCAGTTATTTTTTGATTCTGAAATTTCATGGCTCTTACAGGAGGTGCAAGGGGGTGACAGCAAAGTCACACCAAGATTGAATTATGGGGGTAGCAGGAAGGGCGTTTCAGATCAAGGACCCTGCAATGATCGGGTGCAGTGATTGGGGCTGTGCATGTTATGTGACCAACCTGGACAGAAATGTGGGTGTGCACAGCGATGACCTCGGGGTCACCGACGGTGACCGGGTGCTTGGGTGGAAAGGGAAGGGCTGGTCCTCTTATCCACCACCATTGCCAGCAGCATCCTCACTCCCCAAAGAGTGAAATAAGGGACCCACTGGTCCCTGGGAACCACTGCCACTGCATTCCTCTGAGCTGTCTGAGTGAATTCTCAGAGAGGCAAATCAAACTGTCCAGATTCTGTCAACTTTAGTTTAGTTTTATTTCAACAACATTCTATGTTTCCCTTCAGTTTCTGAAAAGGAAATAAAGTAAAATTGCAGAGTGAGGAATAGTTTTGGCTGTCTGTAAAGGCAGCTCATCTTAAGAAATAAGCTGAAAAAAGGTGGCCTGGGGACGCCCCCAACTGTCACATTTCCCCCATCACATAACTAAACGATGCTGCACTCGTGGGGTAGGGCGGACCCTGGAAGCAGCCTGGGTCCAAATCCCAGGAGGTAAATGGACATAGTGGCCTCGAGAGGCTCCAAATACTGTTCCCCAGTCTCCCTGGGGATAATGACCCCAAATGGGATGGGCCAGTCTTTTGCTTAATGGCGAAGAGAGGTGAATTGAGGGAGTGAAGAGATAGCCTGGCCTCACTGCATGGCATTGAGAGGAAGGGGACTCATCCCGGGCAGGGTGAGGATGAAACCAGTTTAAGAAGACACCAGACCTTATATACATACAACGGAATACTACTCAGCCATAAAAAAGAATGAAAATTTGACATTTGCAGCAACATGGATGGACTTGGAGGGCATTACGGTAAGTGAAAGAAGCCAGACAGAGAAAGACAAATAACTGTAGCATATCCCTTATATGTGGAATCTAAAAAATATAACAAAGTAGTAAATATAACAAAAAAGAAGCAGACTCACGGATATGGAGAGCAAACTAGTGGTTACCAGTGGGGAGAGAAAAGTGGGGAGGGGAAAAGTAGAGGTAGGGGGTTAAGAGGTACAAACTATTAGATATAAGAGAAGCTACAAGGATATATTGCACCACATGGGGAATACAGTCTATATTTTATAACTATAAATGGAGTATAACCTTTAAAAATTGTGAATCACTCTATCGTACACCTGTAAGTTATATAACATTGTACAGCAACTATACTTGCATAACACAAAAAAGAAGACACCAGACCTCCTTCTAGAGCACCTTTCTCCTTGTATCCCTGGCAACCCTACTTGTGCTTGTTTCCCCACAAGAACCAGGTTGGAATATTGCACTCACCTGAATAGGATTCAGTCTTGGACCCCAGGGCGACCGTGATGACCACCAGGAGGAGGGGGAGAGATGTGGCTGCCATGGAGACCTTCATCCTCCTGTGAAGGGAGTGGCTGTGGGAGGAGACCTGGCCTGGTAGGGGCTTCGGAGGCTCCTGGGCTGAGGAAGTTTTGAGAAATGTTCATTGAGGCAAAATATTTTTAAAAATAAGGGAACTAAGATTTCAAAGTAGACTCCTCAGCAGTTTCATATCCCGCACATTTGTTGAGGGTGGAGTGAAGGAAGCACAGAGAGCCGAGTTTCAGGGAGGAAATTGACCTCCATCCCCAGTGGGAATACGTTTAACCCTTTGATATAAGCTCTTCCTTAGTCGTAGGATGACCATGAGCACAGTGGTAGAGGAGACTGTCTCAGATTCAATGAAAGATCTCAAAGGCTGGGATGTGTCCTGTGCCCAATTCTCAGAACAAGGCCGTATGGGGGCTGGAGATTGGAGGGGATTTGGGGTAACAGGATGAGGTCTGGAGCCCCCACATCAGGTCTAAGAAATCCTCACTTAAGCTCTTCAGCAGAACCTCTGGCTCTGTACCTCATCCCCGGCCTTTCACTGTCCCCTGGGGTGAAGAAATGTCATGGTGCTCAGCAGATAATTTACTTAACAAGCATTATACTGTAAGGGTTGCTATACACAATAGCTGCTGTCCCAAACGCTTCATGAATATTAGCCCTTTTAAGCCTTTTATCAGTAGTTGAGGAAACTGAGGCACAAAAAGCATCCATTACTCCCCCGAGATTTGACAGTTGCTAAGCGGAATCGGGCTTCAAACTCAGGCAGTCTGGCTCCCAAGTCTGTGTCCTTAATCACTCTGCCGTGGAGAAGAAACACGGGAGCCCCCAACGAGCTGTCTCTAAAACTGTCCTGCCTGGCTTGGCTTCTCTAGAAAACCTTTATTCTGAGACCTTTCTGAGTTCAGAGAGTGGATTCCTTTAGGACCTTCTCCCAGTTTCCGACTTTCATTACAGAAAAGCTTGATGGGAACCTAGAAAATGCTTCATTCAGGGATGGCTAGCAGGTTTCACTGATTAGTGGTGGACTGGCGCTCAGTGTTGGAAATGGTTCTGAGGCCATGTCCATGCATCATGTGACTGATGTGCTTTCTGTGAAGGTGCAGCTTGCGTCATCCTTAGATTTGTCTAAACAGGCTATTTACTGAGGAGGAACTGGAGCTCAGGAAGGGCCAGAGACTTGCTCATGTTCACGAAATGATTTGGATGCAGGACAGACCCACCTCTTCACGCTCTCCGTCCAGTGGCCCTGACTGTGCTCTTCCTGGGGGAACTTGCCCTATTCTTCTTGCTGTTGTGGTTAGAAGGCTGTTTCCATCTCTCCTCCACTCGTCAGGGTAGGGCAGGCCTAGCAGATAGCAAGTGATCTGTAAGTATATGTTTTAGAAGAAGTATGAATTGAGCTGGTCTAAGTCTGTATATCTCACAGGAAACAGCTGAATTCTCATGCTTAGGTGCCAAGACAGTAATTTATTCAAAATGTTCTGTCTTTGTTATCAATAATAACACTATTTAAACTCCTCAAGTCAAGTGATAACAATTGTCGTTAGGAACAATCTAAGGAAACAAGATGTTTCTGGAAAGAACATGAGTTGGGAAGAAATAATGATTACTTTGTTTTTGTGGAGACTAGCTACTTGCCAAGTTGTTGCTAGGATCTCTACAGGAAAGCCCTTTATTTTTCAAGCAGTTATTGAATTCCTACCCACATTAGTCTGGTTACGCTCATTGCTATAATGAACAACCCCTAAATCTCAGGGGATTCGTTACATGAAGGTTTATTTCTGGCTCATGTCACAGTCCAGTGTGGGCCAGCAGTGGGATGAGTGTGAATGTGTTGGAGAAGGCTGTTTCATGCACCCATGCAGGGACCAAGTCTTCTATCTTGTAATGCCGCCATTTTCCACAAGAGGCCTCCAAGTTTACTACAAAAGGGGAGAAGCAGAGAGGGATGGGCAGATTTTTATGGCCCAGTTCTGGAAATAGTAGAAATTACTTTCACTTACACTCCATGGACAAAACGAAGTCACCTGGCTCCAACTTAATGACAAAGGTAAAGAAAATATAGATCATCTGTGTGCCCAGGGAGAAGAGAGAATGGGTTTAGTGACCACATCACTTCTTTGCCGTAACGTCATGGGCTAGGCTTGGAGGTGACCCTGACCTCAGAGGACTCATAGCTTGAAGAAGGACTCAAAAAAGTAAATGAAAATTGCAAAACAGTGGGATGAATGGACTTCAGTGGCAACATAATCAGAGACCTTAAAGGTTCTCCTGTTGCCCACTGGTGAGTATGCAGTGCCTGTTTAAAAAATGTTAAAAATATCGGACTTCCCTGGTGGCGCAGTGGTTAAGATTCTGCCTGCCAATGCAGGGGACACGGGTTCAAGCCCTGGTCCGTGAAGATCCCACATGCCGCGGAGCAACTAAGCCCGTGTGCCGCAACTACTGAGCCTGTGCTGTAGAGCCCGTGAGCCACAACTACTGAGCCCACATGCCACAACTACTGAAGCCCGTGTGTCCAGAACCCGTGCTCCACAACAAGAGAAGCCACAGCAATGAGAAGCCCGCGCACTGCAATGAAGAGTAGGCCCCGCTCGCCGCAACTAGAGAAAGCCCGTGCGCAGCAATGCAGACCCAAGTCAGCCAAAAATAAATAAATAAAATTATTTTAAAAAATGTCGTTTTTCAAAGCAACACATATGCACTGATTAAAAAAAAATTAATATAGAAACGGTGGGTGGGACCCTTAATATGTTTACTTCTTTGCTTCATTGCCTGTGTGTGAGAAGTCTTCCAGCTCCACTGGCCTCAACCAAGTGGGTCATGCCCTCTGTCCAAGCACTGGCTCACACCAAGAGAAAAGGGAATGAGCTATATTACTTTTAAAATCTTTTTTTTCCTTTACTTTAAAAATCTTGTCTGTGGTTCTAAAAGCGAAAGAGTAAAAATATGGATTTTTCTTTTTACAGCTTTAAAGCACATATTTTTCTAGCTATTTTGCCCTTCTAAGATTTTTACTTTTAAAAATTCAAAATTGGTTGTCAGACTTATTTAGCCATATTTAAACTTTTCCCAATTGTATATTTCTTTTATAATTAAGTAGCTTTGATAAGCTTCATCATGAAAACAGTCAAGAATTAACACAAGTCAAAAGCTGGCCCATTTTGTTGTTTGCCCTTGAAAAGACAATGAAGATTCTTTTGTTTTTTTCAATTCTTTGAAATTATTTTTTGGTTACTAAAGAAATACGTGCTTTCTATAAAAGTTGCAAACAATGCTTCAGTTACAGAGTCGAGAGTGAGAGTCCCTCTTCAAATTTCCACTCCACCCTGCAGCATCAGCGTTACCTGGGAACTTGGTGGAAATGCTGATTCTTTTTTTTTTTTTTTTTCAGAGGAAAAAAGGGTTTCATACAACACAGTATCAAAAAGTAAAAGGAACACACTAAATGCACAAACTGGTGGCAAGTCAGTCCATAGCCTATTATGATAGGTCCTTCCAGCATCAATCAAGTTTCTTCTCATCTGTTATCTCAAGGTTATTTACAGATGTGTGACTTTAACAAGAGTCTCACAGGAGGGTGGGCAAGCTTCAATCATTGGTTTCGGGATCTGTCTGAGCCATGTAGGCATCCAACTCAGCATCCAGGTGTCCTTTCGTTTTTGACATGTATGCATCCAGTTGGTTGTCCAGCTGCTCCTTGGTCAGTACAGGGCGAGCAAGGGCACCTCTCCCTCGTCCACGGCCTCGTCCTCTGCCTCCAAAGCCCCCTCTTCCCCGACCTATCATACCCCGACCTCTACCACCGATTCCGCCACGACCCATAGCTCCACGCCCTAGGCCCCCTCTCCCAGGACCTCCACGACCTCGAACACCACCTCTTCTTAAGCCCATTCGGGGAGCTACGGCTCGTCCACCTCGGAGCAGGTTTTGACCTCGGAGCGACATCCCGCCCCTAAGTAGGGTTCTTGTGGCACGTCCCCCACGAAGTCCTCCTCTGGGCAAGCCTCTCTGGATAATGGGCAGGCCTCGTCCTCCGATTGCTCCCCTGGCCAGGACCCCTATTGGTCGGCCTAACCGTGCCTGGATGTTACTCTTACCCAGGCGCTGCTTTAAGCTCTTCTGCTTAAGTTTTAATGCTGCCTGGACAGAGGGTCTATTCTCCATCTGCTGGGCCAGTCTTCTGTTTCTGGCACTGGCTAGCTGCTGTTGTTGCTGCATCGAAGCCCGAAAATTCACTGGCATCGGCTGTTTGTTCTTCAGCATATTAGTAAAGCGCTCATTTAGAGACATCTTGGTGGTGCTTTTTAGCACAACTTTCGGCGCTGACTGTGCAGCCATCTTCAAATCCCGAGAATCGAAGGAAACGGACGCCAGTGCTCCTCCCGGGGCTGCCACCACGGCTGCGGCAGGCGGGCCGGAGGCCGGCCGAACCTGAGTTGACGGTGGAGGGGCTCGGGTTAACTTGGTGGGCGGTTAGTTAGATGTGTTAAGCGGTAGATTGCTAGGTTAGTTCTTTGCTGTTGGCTGGCTGTCCGGTTGGCGCGTCCGCCTGCTAACCGGCCTGCCCTTTCCTGCCTTTCACCACAGCGGATGCCGTCAACTCCCGCTCGGTGTCGAAAAACCGGAAATGCTGATTCTTTGCCCCACCTAGTCCTACTGAATCAGAATTTCTGTGTTTTTTTTTTTTTTTTTTTTTTCATACGCGGGCCTCTCACTGCTGCGGCCTTTCCCGTTGCGGAACACAGGCTCCGGACGCGCAGGCTCAGTGGCCGCGGCATGTGGGATCTTCCCAGACCGGGGCACGAACCCGCGTCCCCTGCATTGGCAGGGGGGGGACGCGACCAGCTGCAGTGGCCGCGGCATGTGGGATCTTCCCAGACCGGGGCACGAACCCGCGTCCCCTGCATTGGCAGGCGGACTCTCAACCACTGCGCCACCAGGGCAGCCCGACTTCTCGCTTCTTGCTCTGTGCGTCCATTCTCCTCCCGAGTTCTTTGGTCACCTTTACAGCCGCTACCCTGAACTCTTTCTTGGGTAGATTGCCTGCCTCCACTTCACTTAGTTCTTCTGAGGTCAAATCTTGTTGCTTTTTGTCTGGTGCATCTTCCTCAGTCACCTCATTTTGCCTAAGTTGCTGTTTGTGTTTTTATGTATCTGGTACATGAATTATATTTCTTAACCTTGGAGAAGTGGCCTTCCACAGGAGACGTCCTGTGCATCCCAGCAGTACATGCCCCTCTCATCATCCAAGCTGTATGCTCTAGGGGTTCCCCCTATGGGGTGCTGTGTGGTTCCTTCTGTTGTTGCGGGCTGTGTGGGTGTCTGATAGGCTTAGTTGGCCCTGGTCTGTTTGTTTGCCAGGTTCTGCCTTGTATGGAGCTGTTGGCTGCTGGCTAGTAGGGCCTGGTCACAAGGTTGCTGACTGCAGAACTCCAGGGATCCCCAGGGCTAGTGCTGGCTCACTGGTGGGCAGAGTCAGGATCTAGAAGACTCCAGGGTGTTATCTGCCTACTGGTGGGCGAAGCCAGGTCTTGGGGTTAGTGCCAGACTACTGGCAAGGCAGAGCCAGATCCTGGAGTCTGGTTGCAGGGCTCACGGGTCCCAGAGCTGGTGTCAGATCACTGGTGGTGGGGGTGAGCAGTTCCTGATAAATTGGCTATGATGATGTCCGGGTTGTCCCAAAGCTTGTGTTGGCCTGCTAGTGGGCAAGATTGAGGCCCAGCTGGTCCCAAGGTAGGATCTGGCCTGCTGGTGGGCAGGCTGGTTTTGTAGGCTGTGGGATTGTGGTTTTCTTGCATGTGGTGTCTGCCCCCTGGTAGGTGAGGCTTGTCCAGAGGCTAAAGCAGGCTTCCTGTAGGACAGAGCTGGAGCCCTGAGGATTCTGAGGCTGATGCCTGCCCACCGGTAAGTGGAGCTGGGTTCTGGAACTCTGGTGGGTGAAGCCATGTCCAGAGGTGGCTGTAGGCTCAGGGGGTCTTAAGGCAGCCTGTTTGCTGATGGTGAGGCTGTGTTCCCACCCAGTGACTTGCTTGGCCTGAGGTGTCCCAGCAGTGGTGCCTACAAGCTGTTGGGCCAGGGCAGGGCTGGATCCTGGAGCAATAAGCTAGAGGGAAGATTCCACAGTGGTGCCCCCCAGTGCCAGTGTCCACGTGGTAGAAGGAGCAGGATAGCTGCTGCCAGTGTCTATGTCCCCAGGGTGAGCTGCAGTTGCCTCCTGTCTCTCTGGGAGACTCCCCAAGATCAGCAGGTAGGTCTGACCCAGGCTCCTATCAAATGTTAGCTTTTGCTCTGGGTCCTAAGGCCTGTGAGATTTTGTGTGTGCCCTTAAAGAGTAAAGTCTCTATTTCCTGCAGTTCTCTGGGACTGCCAAAATTAAGCCCTGCTGGCCTTCAAAGCCAAATGCTCTGGGGGCTTGTCTTCCTGGTTCAGGACCCCTGGGCTGGGGAGCCTGATGTGGGGCTCAGACCTCTCACTCTTGTGGGAGAACCTCTGCAATGGAATTATTCTCCAGTCTGTGGGTCACCTACCAGGGAGTATGGGACTTGACTACATCATAAGTCTGCCCCCCTACACGTCTTATTGTGGTTCCTTCTTTATGTCTTGTAACTTGTAGCTTTTTACCAAGCACAGATGCAGAGGATTTTTGTCTAGTAGAAAAGATAATCCCCAAAGTTACAGATTTATTGCCCTATAGCAGCGGTCCCCAACCTTTTTGGCACCATGGACCGGTTTTGTGGAAGACAATTTTTCCACAGATGGGGTGCAGGGGAGATGGTTCAGGTGGCAAAGCGAGCACTGGGGAGCGGCAGAAGCTTCGCTGTCCACCCGCCACTTGCCTCCTGCTGTGCAGCCAGGTTCCTAACAGGCTGCAGACTGGTACCAGTCCACGGCCCAGGAGTTGGGGACCCCTGCCCTATGGGATATTAATTTGTTTTTCTCTAACTTAACATTTCAGAATGCCATCCCCAATAACTATATAAACCTCTGTTCCTCAGATGATCTTTGAATCAGTTTAATTGTTCCTTCATTAATGGGTTAAATACATCTTTGACACATATTCAATCTATATTTGAATGTCATGTTTTTAGCTTTTAAAAAACTCTACTATGATGTCTTGTTTTGACAAAAACGCAAATCCAAAGTTCATCAATTCCGACAGATTCTTTTTCCTCTTAAAGTTAAAGTTAAATTGGATACTCTTTATTAATGCACTGCTTTTGTAACCAGAACAGAACAGTAATTGTTGCTTTTTAAAAAATAATTCAGGCCAGGGCCCACCTAGGAGGTAGTCCGGGCTAGAGAGATGGAGGTGAGGGGGCCGACTCCAAGTATCTCTTCTCAAGAGAGTGTTCTCAGGTCCTTGGTCACTGATCTTAGCTTCAGGTCCAACATGCATTTCTGAACATTCTCATCTTTGGGGTCAGCACAGACACGCTTCTCCCTTTTGGTGATGAAGCTGGGGAGCAAAGCGGGGAAAGATTACAAACAGAGGAGGGTTCAGCAAATGGGAATGGGGAGGCCCATCCTCCCTGCCCCTCAGATTCCCCACTCGGCCCTGCCTGTTCTTTCCTTTCTCTGCTGCAGGAGCTCAGAGTGGCCCCTCTCTGAGACCCTCCCTCAGGCTCCCCGACTCCCTTAGTGACTCATGGAGTTTCCTTGGGCAGCGTCCCTCCTGCTCTCTCCTTCCTTCCCCAGCTTCCCTCTTCCCGGGGAACATCTCATACCTGATGGTTCCTAATGAGGACATAAGCCTCAGCTGACCTGGCAGGATCCAGAGGGTGGGACTTTTCTGGACATCCATCCATCAGGTGCCTCCCCCCACACCCCCAGACATGGCCAGTGAGCTTGGCACTTACATGACAGCAGGCCGGGAACATGCACTGCTCATTTCTACATAATCTTTCATGAATACACATCGGATTTTTAGTCGGGTGTAAGAGATGCAGCAGTCAGTGGGACGGTGAAAGCCTACAGCAAGAGAAAGGGTCCCTTAAGGACTGAGTCTGAGGAAAACTAGATCCTTTCCCCCTTTCCTCCTGAGTACTGGGAAGGGTAAGAAAGTGCAAGACTCAAAAGAGATGTTTTCCTTCTCTGCCAGCACTTGCTGGTGTCTCCTTGCTTCACTCTCCCCAGGGTTGAGCTGTGTGTTTGAGGGCATCCAGGAGGGGCCAGAACAGAGCAGGACCATTCCTCCCAGAAGAGGAAGGGTCTGAGGCCTGCAGGGGGCATCAGAGAACACCCCTCCCCCCTCCCCCAGATGAGCCAGCTCTTGGGACAGCCAGGTGGAATAGAAGTCATCTACGGAAGAGGCCACCTATGGACCCATGGCCCATCCTGAAATTCCTTGGAGATGTTCACCACCCATAGGACCCTCCTCTCCCCCCAGGCCCTGTAAACGAGGTAGACTGAAGCCATTGAGCAGATATATATATATATATATCGTAACAAAACTTTACCTCCTTGAGATAGTGAGTGTTCACTCTTCAGGTCCAGCATCAGGTGTTCTATTTGAGAGAAACAGTAGAGAAGGGAAGAAAAATTACTGGGAAGCAGTTGTTTCAACATCTCCATCTATCTCATCCCTCAACCCCATCCCCTGGTAGGGAGGCAAGGATGCTGGACCACTGGACCAGACCTGCCTCCAGGCCCATTTTCTCTATCAAGGCCCTGAGACTTTTCAGGGAACTTTTGAAAAAGTTTGAGACATGAAAACATTCTATTGACTTGAATACAAACAGCAAATTGCAAATCCAACACAAATAAATCAGTTGATTAGCTACATAATATGATACAGTCCACAATGCTTTCTACACATTTTTGGAATTCACAGGACTCTGGAAGCAGACAAATTTTTCATTAAATGATTTGGTGGCACAATGTCACCCAAAGTGAAGTGAGGCTATCTACAGGCTTTATTTACTCCTTTAACATAGGAGTAAATGTGTTTGCTGCAGAAATATTACTGTGTTTGGTTAATGTGTCTCTCAGACTCTGTCAGGGATGTTAAGTAATGTCCAGGTATGTGTTACCTTTTTAAAAATATATATTTTTAGAATGTGATAAAATGTACATAATATAAAGTATACAATTTTAGTCATCTCTAAGTGTACAGTTCAGTAACATTAAGTACATTCACATATTGTGCAACTCATCACAATCCATCCATGGAATTTTTTCTTGCAAAACTGAAACTCTGTACCCGTTAAACAATAACTCCCCATTCCCCCCTACCCCATCCCCTGGGCCACCGCCATTCTACTTTCTGTCTCTGAATTTAACTACTTGGAGTACCACATATGAGTGGAATTATACTATTTGTCCTTTTGTTACTGGCTTATCTCACTTATCATTATGTCTTCAATATTCATCCATGTTGTAGCATGTATCAGAATTTCCTTATTTTTTCAGGCTGAATAATATTCCATTGTATGTATATACCCTGTTTTTCAATCCATTTGTTTGTCAATGGACAGTTGGGTTGCTTCCCCCTTTTGGCGATTAAAATTAATGCTGCTGTTAGCATGGTTGTACAGGTATCTGCTTTCAGTTTTTTTGGGTATATCAAGAAAAGGAATTGCTGGGTCATATTTTATTATCTTTTTAAAACCTGAAAAATTCTGCATTCCAAAATACATCTAGCCCCAGAGATTTTGATAAGGGGTTGTAGACCTGTACTATGCTAATTAGGCAAGCACAACTAAACTTTTAGCTCATTTCTTATATAGTTACAGATGAATTATATTAAATGAGGCATGTGCACACACTTCAACACGCTTGATATGTTGTGTGTGGGGCTTGCAAAATAAAGTCTTAAATGACATGTCTTTCCATAACAGCTTGCTAACTAGCTTGTATCCTAATGCCACCACTTATGGCTGTGTGATCTTGAGCAAATTACCTACGGTTTCTATGCCTCAGCTTTCTCATTTGTAAAATGAGAATAATAATAATAATAAGCAAAACCATATAATTGGCTGATAGTCTACCCCACAGCATTGTTAGGAGGATCCAACGTATTAATATCTGTAAGACACTCAGAACAGTGCCTGCTTTCACACAGGAAGTACTAGATATTTATTTGTTAAATAAATAAATAAATGTGGTTAAGTAGACTTGGGTGAGTCACTCGCCCGGCTTGTCCAATTTCCTCCCTGAAATGATAGTTTTGCACCAGAGGGTATATAATAACTCTAACATCATAGACTTCTATACCTCTTTCTACAGATTTACAATTTTACTACAATTCTCTTGATCTAGCTCATAATAGTCCTATATCAGCTAAGAGAAAGTGTCATATAATTCTGGCCATGAAAGGGAGAGAATTGTTTCCCCAGGTGGGACCAGTCACCTGTATACAGTTTTCCCCAGGGACGGAAGGCTGCAGGGAGAGGTCTATACCTACTGCTGCTGCTTTTAACCAAGTATCATATCCCTATTGGGACAAAGGTGTCCCTCTGCGTCTCCTCCCTGGACTGAGAGTCACCATCAACCTGCCCACCTGTGAGAAGGCTCACTGAACTCACCAACTGCAGCCTGGGCAGCAAGGATGAGGCAGGAGAGGGCAGCTATTGAGGCCTTCATCTTCCCCGTGCACAGCCAGTATCAGCCTGAGGACTCCTGGGCTCTCTGCTCTCTGACTCCCCCAGACCCCAGCTCTGCCCTTGTATTTATAAGAAGAGGGGGACCAGGAAGTCACAGGGCTGAGGTCAGAATGCTGTTCTTTGGCTGAATAACAGACAACACACTATTTCTGAAAAAGGGAACGAGGCTGGGAAGGTAACAGGAAGTAGAGGGAAAGGATGACTTGAGGCTTTCCCAACTGCCCAGTGGATACAGGCGAAGAGAGGGACTAGTTTATGAAGGATACTTCCTCTAGGAGGTTCACTGAATACTTTAACCAGAATTTTTTCCTCGGGAGTTAACCCCATTCAAGGGCATGAGCAGCCTGTTATCAGGGGTGACCAGAGAGGATGCTCTAACGTGTGAACCCGGTCATGTGACCCCTCTCTTTGTTTCACCCCCACATCCAATCCATTAATAAATACTATTGGGTCTACTTTCAAAAATGTGTCCAGAATCTTATTATCTTTCACCACATCTACCCTCTCCATCTTGTCCAAGCCAACCTTATCTCTCACCAGGATTCTTGCAAAAACCTCCTAATTTGTCTCCTTCCTCTGCCCTTGCCCTGTTTCACTTCATTCTCAACATTGCAGCCAGAGCGATCCTGTTAAAATATAAATCAGATCAAGTCAATCCTGTTTAAACCCCGCCCATGGCTTTTTAATCTCCCCAGTGTAAAGCCCAATCCTTCTAAGAGCCTACAATCCCCTATGTGCTCTGGTCCCTGTTTTCTCTGTTTTCAGGCCCTTTACTTCCCCTCACTCATTCTGCTTCAGTTATACAGGCTGGTTCAGAGACTTTTGTTCCCTCTGCCTTCATTACTCTTCCCTTAAATTACTGTATTACTTTCTCCCTAACTTCCTTCAGCTCCTTACTCAAATGTTATTTTTCTGGCTAGTCTTTCTGGAACACTCTATCTAAAATTATAATCTCCCTCTGCCCAAATTTCTTGTCTTAATTTTTTCTCCTGTGCACTTAACACTATCTAATATACTATATACTTTACTTGTAAATCTTTTACTATCTGTCTCTTTTTCTAGAATATAAACTCTGTGAGAGCAGAGATTTTTGTATCTTTGTTCCTAGTTTAGATTCCCCTGAAAGCAGAGCATGAGAACTATGGGGTGAAGCTCGATAATTCGGGAAGTATTCCTAGAAGCAGG